TCCCAATCCCTCAGGGGTAAGGGGGAGTGGGTGGCTGTGTGGTGCTCAGTTGCCCTCTAGGCTCAAACTACAAGATCTGGCCTTGTGTTTTTTGACAGGGCAGTTAAGAATGCCTCTTCATAGGCTCTCAAGTGTCTTTTCTGAATGGAAACACTATTAATGACCACCAAAGCAGTGGTTAACAGCAGAAGAGCCCAAAACACTATATGTGGTCCCTCCAGGGAGCTATGATGTAACTTACATCTGTGTCTCCTGAAACTTCTGCTGCTGTCTTCTTGGCCTCTGCCCATTAGCCAGAGGAGGAAGAAAAAGGCATTTGGAAAGCCCAAGACTCTTCTGTGCACCTTTTTAGCATGACAGGAGGACTGTGACATTGTCTGTGCTCTTTGGTTTCTTTCTCCGTGTGTTCTGAATTCCCTCAGGGCTTTCTTGGATCTTGGGATGGTAAACTGTCCTTACCTACTCAGTGATTCTCCTAATCCTGTGGTTTACATGCTCCATTTCCTTTGTACCTTGTGTTCAGCTGTGTGGACATCCAGATGTTGCTCTGATTGGCCTTACATGGCCTGAGAGGCAACAGGCAGTACCGAAACAGGCTGATGGCTTTTGATAGGAAGAGCAATAGGACATTTATCAGCTATCAGCTGGGGGGCCACAAGCCAGTAAAAAACAGTAACAGTTGTATCAACTTCAAACATACAAGCTGAAAGCAACAGGGACTCAGGTCTCTCTCACCCCCAAAAGGTATACATGAGCTCCATATAGAGTTACATGAACTAGAAAATACAGCGTGTAATAATACTGAAACAAGTTTCTATTAAGGATTAGAACTGATGACAGTCAAGACCTTCCTTTTTCGAAATCGGAAGATTTCCATAACACCTGTGGAAGCGTTTCAGGAGAGGTATTTTAGGGGATGGGGAGTTTCCCAGCTGAGGAGAGCATGGCACTGAAAACACAGTTGCTACAGAAGTCTTGCCTTTGGGAAAGCTTCCACTGCTTTAAGGCAGTCCCTTAAAGGAGATTTGGGTAAGCACATTGGTCTGGCAATTGTGACTTTACATTAGGTTATTGCTGATGTAATTTGTCAGATGTGGCTGGGAGCTCAACCTGGAAGAGATTGTTTCCAAAGCAAAAACCACTGAGAAAGTAGCAGTTGTTATGGAGCTCTGATGCAGAAAGGAAACCTCACTGACTCCTCACCCCAGAAGAGTGAATGCTGAACAGCATTGGTTTAGACTCCACTAAACCACACTGCAGGCATTTAACTGGACTTTCACCTTGTAGAAATTGTGCTCTCTGTATCAGTTAGTCTACGTTCAGGGTCACAACTCACCAAGTCACTGTTGAAGTCTGTGAGCATCCACTGGGGCTCACCCTGTCTTTGCCTGTCACACCTATTCCAGCCAAAATTGACGTCACTCCTGGCAAGACTATGCTGTAGACTATATTAGATTTCAATGGCCGGAAACACCCTCCTAAGGCTAAAGCCTTCTCTACACTAGGAAGATTTTGGTAGCTGTTCCAAATAGAGCACTAATGACAAATAATAAAGGATTTAAAGTGAAGAATGATGTATTTATGGAAAGTCCTTTTTGATGGGATTGCAGGGGAATGAGGCCAGTGCCACAGTCCTGTGTCCCTTACTCCTAGAATCAATGACAAGCTAAAAAAAGAAAATCCTATGCTGAGTTTGTTGTATCTGTCCTTCAGCCATCCAACCTGAAGACAGAAAACTCCAACTCAGCACCAAGTCAAATCTGGAGGCTGCTTACAAGTCTTGTTCCAGGTGCAGATGGCACACTTCCACCCCTCCATCTCTGCCTGCATTGCTGGAGGGTTACGTGTTCCCTTGGGTACAGGGTCTCATCTTGCAGTCACACCCTAGCTCTGTTCCATGTACCAGGTTAAGTTAGTTCGTGTATGTAGTTGCTTTTAGCAACTGTAATGTCAGTGACCGTAAATGTCAGCAAGCTTTTTGGCACAGGGTTCCTTGCCTTTCCCTCCTGCAGAGGCTGAGCGGATGTTTTGTTTTTGTTTTTTTTTTTTTTTTTTTTTTCACCTTACACGAGCAACCCCTCCAAACCCAGGGAAATCCCAGTGTGGCTGCACAGGCTGAAGCATCATTAGCTTGTGGAGCAACTGCATGGCATGAGGGACAGACCCAGCCTGAGCTCAAAAGCCAGTGGGCAACTGGAGAGACACTGGCTGGGAGCTGGGGCATACTGGTGAGGGGACACTCTTCCCCCACTGCAAGTCATGTCCCTGTCTCCCTGCAGCGGCGGCAGAAGGAATACCTGTGGAAACATCTGGGAAAAGCTGAGAAACAAGACCCAAGCTAAACAGTGACAAGCAACACCAAGACCTTTGAAGCTGGTTTATACACCATTCAACCTGTGCATTTCCTCATGTGCAGCAGTATCTTTTTCATAATCATTCAGACTTGTTTACATCTCCACTGCTTGACTCCAATAATTCAAAACATGTGTTGGTTTTTTTAATTCATTTTTTTATTTATTTGGAGAATATATATATATACATATGTACAAAAACATCTATGCCTACTTTTTTTTTTTTTCCTTTTCTTTTTTTTACAATTTCATGTGATTTACAAAACAGGACAGCAAAATAACTTATAAAGGATACGAATACTATACAAAAATAAAACTGATTAAACTGTTGGTTTACAGTGTTACAGATCACCAGTCTGTAAAACAGCATTTTGAAGTATGTGTCCAGTCTGGTGTATGCTGGGCTAAGTCCATCTGCAAACTGAAAACAGATCTGTAATACAGGTCATGAAAAACTGTTCAAAAAAGAAGTATGTTGTATAGCTATACCTTTAAAGCCATGAGTTCTCTATAGTAATGGGCTTTCTTAACCAAGGAGAGAAGCTGTCCTAATTTCAGCACTATTAAGTATTTCCAAAATAGTACAAGCACATACGGTATTAGAGAACCTGATTTTCCTTTTCTTTTCCAACACTTGCAACACCTCAAAACTTAACTTCAAGATGCAAAGAACTAACACTAACCAGTTTGGTTTTTATGTTAGTCATCATCTGCTTTTACTAAAAGGAAAACCCCAAAACTCCCAAATGAAAAAAAAAAAAAAAAAAAAAAAAAGTGAAATCTGCAAACCTGATTATCCCCAATGTATTCTGTTAGTGGTTAGTGAATTGCATTAATCCCGTCTGTCCAATGCTGAAATACAGCATATGTTAGGGCAAATGGGTTGCCATTTAGGAAGGTTTTTTTCAGAAACAGGATCTTGTCACACGCAGTGACGACAGGCACCTGTATGTCCCATTGTCCCACGGACAAAAGTGCCCCTCGCCTGTTGGTTCTTTCAGACTTTGCAGGAACAATGACAGTACTTTGAATGTGCATTCTACCCCCAAATACGCAAGGTAGAAACCATAAATCTGGCCATTTACTTCCATGTATCAGTTAATCCTGGTAGCTAAGTGACCAACACATCTACGTACTGATTTAGGAGCTGCTTATCAGCTGTGGTTTCCATTGCGGTTGGTAGGATGTGAGGGTGTCTTGTATTTCACAGGATCAGGCCTTCATTTTCCAAGTGCTGCATTTGTCCTACAAAATGGCAACAATCCAGACTGCAGGACGGACTTGAAGTTTTGCTTGATCTTCACAGAGAAGAATGAAAATGAACGTGCATGCGCCTTTGAATCTTGCTGGGCTACGCGTGGCCCTGACCCCACTCAACAAGGCAGCATTAACAGTACTGGTAAGCAGAACACTTTCTGTATTTCTGTATCAACAGAAATACTGAGGCTACCTATTTTTATTAGGAAGAACGTATGTCCCCACGACTGAATTTGGACACCAGAAATTAAAGTTTGGTTTCTAAAATAAATGTTTCAAAAAGCTGAAACGGAGGTAGAAAGTGTGCTTGGTTTCCTGATGTCTTCACTGAAGAAAACACATCCCTTTTTATTCTACAGACTGCTCAATATCCCCAATGCCATAAAAGCAGTTCTCTTCACATAGACGGAATTTATCATGAACTACACAGGTAAAAACACTATATGCAAACTGATTTCTAATGCTGAAAGCCTTATACAACTGTAGAAGAAAACACTCTACTCTCTGAATTATTTTTTTTTTTATGTTCGTTTCTAAGAAGCAAGCTGTTTATCAGGTAAAACGATAAGGTACTGTAATTGCAGGTGTACTAACAAGGTTTTATATGTACAGAATTTTACAGGATGACCTCAATTCATCTGCAGTGGAAACACTCTGTGTTTCAGTGTGATTACTCACGAGATGAATTTGGCCCTAAGTCCCTATAGTAGGGCTGCACTTCCAGAAGAGGAAGGGGTAAAAGCCAAACAGGAGAAGAATGTTCCTGAAAAAAATCACGTGTAAACAGATTTCTCCCCCCTTTATGTTGATGGGGAGGGAAAAGATAAAATCACTCTTAAAGTTCATGCTTTTAACATAAAAAGAAATTAATGAAACACTCAGCTAATGAACACAACTTAAAGTTTTCCTTCAGTGATCTTTTTGCTCCTCTTAAAGAGCAAAAAACAGCTTTAAAATAGAAGTAATATTGCCTTTGACAGTGTTTGACGTGCCATGCGTGACACAGGTACAACACAGAGTAACAAGAGAAGCTTACGTTGTAAGGAGTATTACAACACACCTTCCATGCTGAATTTCCAATTAGCTCATGGTTTTCCCCCATACTCTAAAGAAACAGTGATCAAGAGATACAGGAGCCCTTCCAAAGTGCTCCTTACAATAATTTCAGCTGTTTCCATTAGCAGAGTGCTCTTAAGGAAAGGTCTACTCTCTCCATAAGCACACACAACTCCCATAAGACTCCGCAGGAGTTAGGCAAGGGTATGAAGAGAATAAATCTTTAAGGCAAGTGTAGGAAGAGAAAAAGCCTTTAAAAAAGCAGCCATTTATAAAGATAGTTGCTGTTGTTATGCATCCATTCAGACAAAACACAGAAGAATAAAGCACTGTTAGTGGCATTTCTATAATACAGTACTGTATTTATTGACAAAGTAGAAGTATAGGATCGACTGAGAGACTTGCGCTCCTGCTCTCACACCCCCGCCACATTATCCAGGCTGACTCGTATTTTTCCAGGTAAGAGAATAACAGAGCAAAATACACACACGGTCAGAAAATGACTGAGCTGTTGTAGGTCTTTTTTTGCTTTAAGTATCTTCTTGAATTATACATGTCATTACTGGAAAAGTGCAGCTTATATTCAAAAGTATAGATAATAAAAAGAAAAATTAAAAAGACCCATTTACTTTAATGGGCCTTCTTGAGTATAAATTCACCGTATCTCAGTATATCAGTCAGATGCTATTAGTAACATATGTAAAGTTTCTCTTAACAGTCTCTTCAAATGCAGAATCATTCTGAGACAGAAGTAAACCCACTTCTACAATGTGCTATGGAGTTTTTATCTGAGTTATTTATGTGACTCGGAAAGCGGTTTTACTCAACAAACTCTAAATACAAGCAGCATTACACTGTTCAACAAAACATGTTCATGAAACAACAATCACAAAGACTTTGGGGTCACGCTACTGTGGCGGCACAGGCCGGACCATCCAGTCAGACGTATGTACACCAGCATCAATGCTTTACATTAGAGGAGGTGGTCGCCTCCTCTGCTGGCCATCCCTTCCCTCCTCTCACCCCGCAGTCCACTTGCTCCAGACCGCTGTTCCCAGCACAGGGCGGGGAGGTGGAGGATGGAGAGGAGGGGCACGGAGTATTTGTTTAATTTTTTTTTTTTTTTTTTTTTTTTTTTTTTTTTTGAAACATCGGCTACATGTGCTTTTGGACAGTGAGGGCGACCGGCGCTGCAGCAGATGCTGGTGCTCCGGGACCACTGCCTGCCTCCTCACTGCGGCTCGCCTGCCCCCGCCGCCTCCCTCCTCGGGGCCAGCCCTGCCTTCACAAGGAGCTGCCAGAGCCAGACTTTTTGGATCGCTTGATCATGCTGGGGTGAAACTCAGTGTGGCGGCGGGCGTGCTTTGTCAGGTGGTCGCTCCGCATGAACCGCTTCTCGCAGAGGGGGCATCGGAACTGTTTCTCGCCAGTGTGGGTTCGGTAGTGCCGGGTGAGCTCGTCAGAGCGGGAGAACTTTTTAAGGCAGTCGGGCCACGTGCAGGGGAACGGTCGCTCGCCTGCGGGGAGGAAAGGATGGCAAGACATTCAGTGGGGTGGGGGTAATGCAGGCCAGCACGTACCAGTTTCGCCGGGGAACACGCTGCTGAGGGGAAAAAGCTGCTTTTGTTTCCTGCCATGGTGCCAACGTCTGTGGAGTTGTTGATGACTCGCTTCATCAGGTTTCAGTCTCACCTCCAGCAGAAGCCAAAAACCCCTCCAACCGCATGAAACTCGCACTCTGGTGAGGAACCTTACATGACCCCAAAGGCTGTCAAAACAACAGATGAGCTCTGCTTGTGCCTGTACATTTTTCGTATCAGGCCCGCTATGGCAGTTTGAGAAAGGAGTGCCAATATTATTCCTCTGACACTTCCATTCTGCTGAATAAAATAATTTGTAACCATTAGCAAAGAAGCCAAAAATAATCTTTCACCTAGGACAAGTCATTCTAGCCCAGGGAGAACTGAGCGGGGAGGGACTGGGGAGGGCGGTGCACACGTAGAGCAAAACTGCTGTGACTGCAGAGAGAAGTCCCATGCCCCCCTCTGCTCCCTTCCCCTAGAAATCCATGCTGCTCCCGACAGTACAGGTCTCCCCTCAGTCTCTTAGACAGCTGATTGGAATACGGGAAAACGACTTCATTATTCACAGCTCTGTAGGCATAAATGTTTGCTACAATGATGGTGAAGAACTAAACCCAAATACCTTAACCTAAACCACACAGCACCTTTGCTTTTAAGAACAAGGATTGAACAGCATTCCCTATGATCTGCTTGGCACCCACAGTTCTCTTTAGGTCACACAAGTTTTGCCTAAAGGCATAGACCCAATGTCTCCTGACCAGCAAGGCTGACCCTAGTCCATGGCAGATGGAAATCAGAGACGCTTAAGTTCACATGAAAGCTTTCAATCACAGACATCATGTACCACTGCAGTTTGATGCCTTAATTCCCTTTCTTAAGAGTCTCCTGAAGGAAATAAAAATGACAGCTATGTGACAGCTATTTATAGTCAACCATGAAATATAAAAACTATCCCAGGAGTTTTCCAGCTTGTAAGAGTTGAAAAGAAACTCAAGAACTCAAGTATTTCTTGGTATTGCGAAGTTTAGCACAACAGGCAAGCTTGCTTTACAGAGTGCAAAAAAAATGAGTAATTCACATGGAAGTGTGCCTCAGAGTCCTCCCCAGACACAACACCAGTGACAAAAGGCTAAGGGTTTGCGTGAACAGCCCAGATGCCAGGAGGACAACCAGCAGTGGGAAGTAAAGCAGAGCTGTAGGGAGGAGGAATGTGGCTGGGGGAGTAACTGGTAGCATCCAAAAGGCCAAGGAGGATGAGCTAAGATGGGGTGTAACTACACCATGGGCCCTGAAAGCCCCAGTGAGCCTACCTTAAATAACACTGCCCGGCTCCTGACGTTACAGTGCTCCCTGACAGGCGGCTGCTCCGTTGCAGACTGAGCAGCAGAGCTGCAGCCGCACGAGCAGAGCCGTGCAGGTCACAGCAGCCCCTCGGGCAGCTGCTTTCTTCCCTCAACTCACAGCAGTGCTGGTCCTTGGTCAGGGCAGAAGGATGCAGAGGGAGCAGAGCCAGCCCAGTGCCCGAGCCTGGTGCAGGCACAGCTGCCAGCCATCCTGACTGGGGCTATTTTTTTTTATTTATTTTTTTTTTAATAAACAGGTTTCTTGGCTCCCTGCTGTACGCATTATAGACATGGTTGGAAGACTTTCCGAACAACCACCGTCTGTATGAAATAAATTAATTAAAATAGTACGTAGGCTTACATGCGCGCGAAGGCCACGACCGCGGCTACACGGCTGAGCAGCACCGGGAGCTGTACAAAGCAGTGGCACCAGTGCCCCACCACCCTCCCCTGGCTCTGCCCTGCCCAGCCCCTGCCCTTGGCATCAGAGGCGAGCGTTTCACTTGCGCTGCTCTTTTGCCATCTCACGGTTTCTGTCACAGCTCCGGGAAGCAGGCATCAGTGGGGGGTGCAGAACAGCTTTCTAGCTCCCCCCCCGGGAATGTGTGAGAAGTGCTATACATCTGGCATGTGTGGAAGCATCTAGTATACAGCTCTAGGTCAGGCACTCACACCCCAGAGCAGTGGGAGCAGCTCAGGCATCCTGCCCCATTCCCACAAGCCATGTTTCCAACCACCTACCTCAGGACAGCTCTTCAGCCTGCAGAAGTGCCTAGGTGAGACAACAAGGATCACAGCCTTTGGGGTGCAGCATCTACATTTGAGGCATGATAGTATCCAACCTGGGTGCCTAAAAGCAGTGTGTTGAATCTGGCCCCACACAGCCCTTGAGGAAACTGGGCTTTCCTCTCCTCCCCCCCCTGTCCCGTTCCCAGAATTGCAGATCGGAAGACAAAATGGAGGCTGGTTACTGGAATTCCCTCTGAAATGTGGTGAGGGCAGCGTGACCTCCACCACTGCTACCCTGCACACCCACTTCACGTGCCATGGGAAAGCGCCTTTAGGTTACGCAGTGCAACCACAAAGCTTCAGAGAAAGGCAGGGCTCACTCAGGAGCCCTTGGGGATATTTGGCACTGCATTCCCCCAGGGAGCCAGCCTTGGGCTCTGTCCTGGGTTGAGTGAGTGGTCGGGTTTTTTTGGTGGCAGGGGAGGGGGCTATTGGGGCGGCCCCCTGTGAGAAGCTTCTCGAAGCTCCCCCAGCTCCACGTCAGCTCCACTTCTGTTTGGGAAATTGAGCCAATCAGCTGCACCTCTGCAATAACGTATTTAAGAAGGGACGTGGTGACGGGCAGTGGGACTTGTGAGGAGGAGTTGCTGCAGCTGCGTGAACACCAAGGTCAGTGGAGGAACGGAGGAAGAAAGGAGGGGGGAGGTGTGCCGGAGCAGAGACCCCCCTGTATCCTGTGGGGAGACGGCAGGGCGGCCCCCCCTGCCACCCATGAAGATCTACGGTGGAGCAGACATTGATTTACGGCCTGTTGCTCCTGCTCAGATGATCAAGGTTCTGTGCCCGAAGAAGGCCGGGGTCTCATGGGAAAAGGCAGCCCCACTGCTGCAATTCAGTGCTGGGAGGATTGCAGCATGCGGGGGAGTCCCACGCTGGAGCAGCTTGGGAAGGGCTGCAGCCGTGGGAGAGAATCCAGTCGGAGGAAGTTGGTGACCCATGACGGAGCAGTGTGGGGAGCACTGCGGCCCATGGGAGGAATTCAAGTTGGAGAAAGTTTGTGGAGGACTGTCTCCTGTGAGAGGGGGACCACGATGGAGCAGGAGGAACAAGTTCCAGACACTCCCCTCACCGGAGATGGAAGAAGCAGCAGCACTGACTGCACCCCCCCATTCCCTGCCCCTGCGCCACTGGGGGAGGAGGTAGAGATATCGGGAGCAGAGCTGAGCCCGGGAAGAAGGGAGGGGTGGGGGGAAGGTGTTCTCAAGATATGGCAATGCTTCTCACTGTCCTACTCTGTTATGTGTTGTTAGTGTCTGTAATAAATGTATGTTCTTTTTTTTTCTTCCCCTAACGAGTCTGCCTCTTGCTCGTGATCATAAAGGGGAATTTTTCTCCATCCCCGTCCTATCTTGAAGCCCAAGCCTGGCTCTCTGTCCCTTCTCATTGCCGGAGGGGAAGGGAGAGAGAGCTGCTGCATTGTGGTTGGCTGCCAACCAGGCCCAAACTACAACAGGCTTGGCGGGGGCAGCACACCGAAGGCCGTCAGAGGCATGCCCTGCTACCGACGGGAGAGCCCCCATGCACCGGGACTGCAAAGGCGGCGGAGATCGCTGCCAGGGACAGGCGGCCGCAGTCCCTCCGATGCACGAGAGCTACCGCCGGCACCTGAGGCCTACCGCCCAGCCCCCAAATACAATGGCAGAGAACAGCTTCACCACCTCAGCAATAGAAGCCTGTGGAGGCTGTCGCAGCCACTTTGGAAGTGTGGATATGAAAGTAGGCCAGGCATAATCCCCGGCACCCACACGCATTAAACTCCAGACTTCTTGGAGCAGAGAGACAAGGGGGAGGGAGGCTTTTCCAGGCCCTCGGGGGCTGTCTCTGAGCCTGAAGAGCTGCTGCTCCCCTCAGTCACAAAGCTTAACGGGTGACACCAGCCCAGAGGGATGGCACTTCACTGATGGACTTAGTAGGTGCAGAGCAGGGGGTGGAGTGTGCGTCCAGGAGGCTTTTAAGGCAAGGTAGAGATACCCGATGATGTGATGATTGTCCACTCAGCAGAACTGGTTGCTTTATTTGCTGATTGCATTTGACACGCTATTTTTTAAAGCAGCAGAGACATTTCTGAAAGAGTCCACTGAGCCAACAGGTCTCGCAACATACACAGCTGGGCGGTCAATGGCCCACAGAGCTGCAATGCAACCTAGTGCTGCCTCCAGCTGGTGATACGGATTTCTGTGTCACAACTCAGTCAGTAAATACCTTTCCCATATGATTTCTGTCCTTTAGTTTTGGGAGTAGTAATGCTAAAGCTTGAAATGAGCAGAACGAACCATCAAAACAGGGTGCTATTATACAGTGTTTCCTTTGGTGGCAGTATGCTACCTACATTTTAAGATATGCATTAGACAGGACTTCCAACAAGAGACGAAGGAATGGTCAATAGTGTATCATACCTTAAAACTATGTGTGATGGGATCTGAACACAAGAGATAGACTATGTCAGTAATTTTCCTAAAAAAAAAAACAAAAACAAAAAACCCACAAACATATATCCAGGGCAGCTTACAGAAGTAACAAGTGAAATGAACTCATTTACAGGTTATAGGAATAGGTGCATCTGCAGAACTCCCATTCTTTGTCCTGTGTGCCACCAGGAATGTAGTGGGAGACATAGTTTCTGCTGACCACAAGCTAATGGTGGCTATTCAGATGTCTTCTCTGGAATCTAAAGAATTACTGCCTCTGCAGCCCTGGCTTGCTTTAAATCCCATATGGATATCGAGGCCATTGAGGATCCTTTTGATCTTTGTTCTCTCGCCTCACCTGACCTTTCCTTCCTGTTCCTTCTTCCCACCCGCT